GACCGAGCCGGTGATCAGCCAGCGGCTGACCGCCTGGCTGCAGCGAGCCGGTGGTCCGGCGAGCCAATGAACCGGCTGGTTCAGACCGGGTTTTCAGCAGTTCAGTATTTATTGATCCGGTCTGAGTTTAATACAGTATTTCAGTTAATTTCTCAGTCCAGTCAGTCCAGTACACCGGTATCAGTTCTGTCCGGTTTTCTTGTCAGTCAAGTTAAATCCCGAGAATATTCCAGTTAAATATTTAGATCGAGTCGAACGTCTTAACAGTTATTTTCAGTCAGTCTGAGAATAGTACTTAGTACTTGTTTATTTATATATATTTTTACAGATTGATCAGTAGCAGCACTTACATTATCAGTTCAGGTGGGAACTCAGACTAGGTATTACATTGGTTATAATTGCTCTATCATCTTTTAAGGTATGTATATGAGATATCCACTTTGGGTGTAGTACATATGTATATACGCTTTGGCAGACTTATTAAATGTATATTATTTGCCACGTTTTACTTCCGCTGACATTTTTCAGATTTTCAAACTAGCGTGTTAATTTTCAGATGTTGATCCGAACCTTCGGGTCAGATTTTATACAATAATACACGCTCTTTTGATAAAAGTTAATCCGTTTTCATAAATAGTATTTAATTAATAAAGATATCGGATTTTTAGAAAAGAAATGTTTTTCTGTAGCATCCGAGATATGATTTCGTAAACTAAAGTATAAATTTAATAAAAAAATTTGCAAAAATCGCACTCTGATATTTATGGAAATGCGGGGTGTTACAAATTGGTATCAGAGCACGTTTTCGTGTATCTGAATACTTTCTAAAGTCAGAAATTTTCAGAAAAGACCCAACCACGCTACGCTCACGCCTCGCCGTCTACAGGTCAGTGCTGAGTTACAATTTATATATATCTAAACGAATGCTTAAGTCTATGCTCAGTAAGAGGGTACCAGATATTTGACCCTAGAAACCAGTAAGATGCTCGAGTATTTTCTGAACATAGTCGATTGTCTCAGTTACTTGATAGTTCGACTTTAGTTTTCTCGGGTTATTTAGCGACTTGTCAAGAAATTTGTGTACTTAAGCAGTCAGTCAGTCAATCTCTTATGTTATTTAGTCATGTTAAATATTTCAATGTTCAGATGCCTCCTCGTAGAGATCCAGACCATCAGGGTCTCCCTCAGGCCACAGTGGTCGCACAGTTCCGCGACTACCATCCAGAAAAATTTTCCGGCCAAGGAGATCCCCGTATAGTAGACGAATGGGTTCAAGGCCTTGAAATAATTTTCGAGGTCATGGACTGTCCTGATCGTTATCACACGTTTTGTGCACAAATCCAGCTGACCGGTGATGCCCGACTCTGGTGGAATGCCTATTGGGGTATGCGTCCCGGCGAGAAAGAAGGTTGTACGTGGGACCAATTCAAGGAGTTGATCCGAGAGAAGTATTATCCCTCGTACTACCGAGCAGACATGGAGCGCCAGTTCTTGGCACTCACTCAGGGTACTCGTTATGTTGATGAGTACGAGAGAGAGTTTACTCGTCTCGGAGCCTTTTTACCCGATCTTGTGGGTACGGAGGCGAAGAGAGCCCATTGATTTACCGACGGACTTCGCCCAGCAATCCGCCACAACATCGTAGGTCACGGCGTCCAGACCTACGCCTGCACAGTTGCCATTGCTCAAGAAGTCGATGCAGTATCCGACGAGAAGCTATTCAGACACCAGCCCAGCCAATTGCTCAGCCACCAGCCCAGCCCAATGTTGCCCAACCATCAAAGAACCAGAAGAAGAGGAAGTTCAGAACCACTCCAGACGACCGGAGGACTCTCCCCAGACAGATGCCAGCCTGCCCAACATGTGGAAAACGCCACCATGGGGAATGCCTTGTAGGCCAGAACATTTGTTTCCTTTGTCGCCAGCCAGGCCACATCAGCCCAACTGCCCAGAACGACTGCAACAACGTCAACCACCGCAGCAACCTCAACAGCAGCAGCCCAGGCAGCAGCCGCCACGACCCCAGCAGCAGCCACGTGGCAGACAGCAGGCCCGTGTTTTTGCAGTTGACCAGAGGGAGGCCGACCAGCACCCAGGTACCATGTCTGGGATGATTATTCTTAATGATGTACCTGCCTATGCTTTATTTGACACTGGAGCGACCCATTCCTTTATATCACAACGATGTCTCGAAGCTATCGGAGTTCATTCTCTTACCACTATCGATCCTCTCGAGGTGAGTTTAGCCTCGAGACAAAAGATAGTGACTGACGTTAGAGCCACCGATCTCAGCCTTTCCATCGGCGGCCGTATTCTGATTACCGATGCTTATGTTATCGAGATGAGGGATTTTGACCTCATACTCGGTATGGATTGGCTAGCACGTTTCCACGCAGATATCCGATGTCATGACCGGGAGATTACTTTTATTCTTCCGGGAGATGATCAGATCACTTATTACGGCTCCAGGACTCGTACACTGCCCCATGTTATTTCTATGGCGAAAGCCAGGTAGATTCTTCGACGAGGAGAGTGCCAGGGTTACCTTGTGAGCCTCGTTGGAGACGAGCCAAAGGCACGTTCACCTCATGACATTCCTATTGTTCGTGAGTTCGTGGACGTGTTCCCAGACCAGCTTCCGGGAGGTCCACCTAGCCGACAGGTGGAATTTTCTATTGATCTTATTCCTGGAGCCGGACCCGTTTCTAAGGCACCGTATCGTATGGCACCTAAGGAATTGCAGGAATTAAAGACCCAAATTCAAGAGTTGCTAAATCTCGGTTTTATACGACCGAGCGTTTCTCCTTGGGGAGCACCCGTTCTCTTTGTCAAGAAGAAGGACGGATCCATGCGTATGTGTATCGACTATCGGGATCTTAACCGGTTGACGATCAAGAATAAATATCCGCTTCCCAGGATCGATGATTTATTTGATCAGTTGAGGGGTGCCTGCGTGTTTTCCAAGATTGATTTGCGTTCAGGCTACCATCAGCTAAGAATCAAGGAGTCAGACATACCCAAGACAACTTTTCGAACGAGATACGGTCACTTCGAGTTCGTGGTTATGCCGTTTGGCCTCAGTAATGCCCCGACAGTATTCATAGACTTGATGAACCATGTATTTCATCCTTTTCTCGATCAGTTCGTTATTGTGTTCATCGATGATATTCTTATTTATTCCAAAAGCCAGAAGGAGCACGAGGAACATCTGAGGGCTGTTCTTTCGACCCTTAGACGTGAAAAGTTATATGCGAAGTTTTCCAAGTGCGAATTTTTGCTTCAGCGAGTGGCCTTTCTTGGCCACATTATCACTCAAGCAGGTATTGAAGTTGATCCTTCTAAAATTGCCGCAGTCCAGAACTGGTCAGCACCGAAGAATCCGTCTGAGGTTCGTAGTTTCCTCGGCCTTGCAGTTTATTATCGCACATTTATTGAGGGGTTCTCGAAGATTTCCCTCCCTTTGTCCCAGTTGACGAGGAAGTCTGTGAAGTTTGAATGGACAGACCGTTGTGAATCAAGTTTTCAGGAGCTGAAAAGAGACTTACGACGGCACCGGTGTTGACTATTCCAGATCCTTCTCGGAATTTCACCATCTATAGTGATACTTCGAGGTAGGGTTTGGGATGTGTGCTTATGCAAGATGGCCAGGTCGTTGCTTAGGCTTCACGCTAGCTCAAACCACATGAACCGAACTATCCGACGCACGACTTGGAATTAGCTGCAGTTGTTCATGCCCTCAAGATTTGGCGACATTACCTATACGGCGGTCGATGCGAGATCTTTACCGATCATAAGAGCTTACAGTATATCTTTACTCAGAGGGAGCTCAACATGAGACAGCGCCGTTGGTTAGAGCTCGTTAAGGATTATGATTGCACAATTCAATACCATCCGGGAAAATAGAATGTTGTTGCTGACACCCTAAGCCGCAAGGTGAAGGGTGATTTGACTTACGTCGTTACTCAGCAGAGTCATTTGATTCAGGAGTTCGCCCGGATGCAAATTCATGTGATTGACGCACTTCCTACAGCCATTACGGGGAGTGTCAGTTCTATGCAAGTTCAGCCGACGCTGAGGGAGAGAATCTGGCGAGAGCAGGCTTCAGATGAGTTTATTCGTGCAATTGATGCCAAAGTTCGTGCTGGAGGCGTCGAGGGTTTTCACCGAGGCACTGATGGGGCCTTGGAGTTTCGTGGCAGGATTGTGGTGCCAAAAGTCGAAGCATTGAGGAAGGAGATTTTGACTGAGGCTCATACCGCACCATACCTAGCCCATCCAGGAAGTACAAAGATGTATCATGACCTGAAAAGGTCGTTTTGGTGGCGAGGGTTAAAGAAAGACGTAGCCGACTTTGTGAGGAGATGCTTAACCTGTCAGCAAGTCAAAGCCGAGCATAAGAGTCCCATAGGCCTTCTACGACCACTGCCGATTCAGAAGTGGAAGTGGGAGGAGGTTTCGATGGATTTTGTTACGGGCTTACCGAAGTCGTCTGAACATCACGACGCTATCTGGGTCGTGGTCGACAGATTGACCAACGTTGCTCATTTCTTGCCAGTATTAATGAATATGTCTTTGGATAAGTTGGCTGAGATTTATATCCGTGGGATTGTTCGACTCCACGGAGTGCCTGTTACTATCGTGTCAGACAGAGATCCCAGATACACTAGTAGATTCTGGCAGAGTTTACACGAGGCGATGGGCACTAAGCTAGCATTCAGTTCAGCCTACCATCTAGAGACTGACGGACAGACAGAGCAGACTATACAGACATTGGAGGATATGTTACGAGCTTTGGTTATTAACAGGGGTGCTAAATGGGAGTCGTTATTGCCGTACGTTGAGTTTGCGTACAACAACAGTTATCATTCTTCTATTAAGATGGCTCCTTATGAGGCACTATACGTTCGTAAGTGTCGTTCCCCTCTTTATTGGGACGACGTCGGTGAACGTCGAGTACTCGGTCCGAAATAGATCGAGGAGACAGTAGAACAAGTCGAGTTGATCCGGCAGAGACTTAAGACAGCTCAATGTAGAATGAAATCAACCGCCGATCATCATCGACGAGATATCCAATTCGAGGTTGGCGAGCACGCTTTTCTCAGAGTAAGTCCAATTCGTGGAGTCGTTCGATTCAGGAAGAGAGGGAAGTTACACCCTCGGTTCATTGGCCCGTTCGAAGTACCCGAGCATGTGGGCAATGCGTATCGTTTAGCCTTACCTCCCGAGTTATCCAGTGTTCATAATGTTTTTCACGTTTCCATGTTACGTAAGTACGTGTGCGACCCCGACCATGTCATTCTTCATACTGATATTCAGATCCATCCAGATTTATCTTACGAGGAGCGACCGGTAGCTGTGTTGAACCGACAGGTTCGACGGCTCTGGAAGCGTGATGTTCCCCTCGTTCGTATTCAGTGGGATCGCCACGGAGCTACTTGGGAGCAGGAGGCTGACATTCGCGCTCGTTTTCCTGATTTTCATTTCTGATGTATATGTCTTTTCATGTATATATGTTCAGTTTTATATTTCCGAGGACAGAAATATTTTAAGGGGGGTAGATTGTAATAACCCAGTTTCGTGCTAATAAAATAATGTATTATCTTTTATTGATCTCGTTCATTTCCAGCAAATAAGTTCGACTTTAAGTCGAAAAGCCTATTCGGTTAATTATTAACCGAGTTGAATTCGATAATTAATTTCCGAACCGTTTATTTTATAAACGGACATTATTAATTGGTATTAATTATTGAAAATTAAGAATGTTCAGATCTAATTTCGATATTAATTCATGATCAAGTCACGGATGTACACAAGGTACACATGCACGCACGCATCGCCGTGCATGGTCGTGCATATGCGCGTGCGCGCGCAACCATGCGTGATGCACGTTGCCGTGCGTAGCGCATGCGTTAAGCATTCACTAAACACACGCTTATGCACCACTAAGCGTCGTGATCAAAGTTAAGTAATCCAAACTCTAAGCCTTCAAGTTGCCGTAAGGAATTTTCAAAGGGATGAGTTTGGGTGCAAGTTGTGTCCATGACTCACCTACTTGCTTGAACACGTGGCACGACACGGGGCCACGGGTGATGACTAAGCCCGTGCATGTCCGCCACCTCGGCTATGACTAAGCTAAAAACGTCCCACCTCAGCACACGTTTGGGACACTTGTCGTCATGAGGAGAAACCATCATCCATCACCTCTTTGACTGAATTTCACCCTCGGTTTTTACCTCTCCATAAGTAACCGTGCGTGTAACATTTTCATGCACATTTCATGCACAAAACCGAGCTACTTTCATAGCATAAACTGCTGGAAAAATAGTGAGGAAAAATAAGGGAAAAATAGTACAAGGTTAGCTAAGAATAGCCAAAGGAAAAGTAAGCACTAAGACACCACCGAACGCACCGAGCAAGCACGCGCAAGCCACTGTGCAATCCTCGAGTAAACTGAATGGTATACATCTATTTACCCTATTTTCATGTATTTAAGCTCATGTCAGGAAGATCATGTCAAAATCATGTCATTCGGTTTGAGATATGTGCAAAAATGGCCTTGGAGGTGCTATATAAGCC